AAGCAGACTGAGCTCTCTAGGAGAAAGAGCTCTGAATCCCAAACCGATTAAGCAAGGGACTAGCAGCTCCAACCTATAAAGTCTACTTGCTACTGAAATCGCAACAGCACCACTTAGCGCTGTTTGGATGTTACTCTATTCTCTACACAGGGTCTCTGGGTTCAAGAAGAATAATTCTAATTGGTCATACCAAGTAATACAGAACTCAATACTGGTTGATTGATTCTTTTCACCCTTTTTACAAGCACTTTATGAAAACGAGTAATACCTGTTCAAATTTAATTTTTAAAGTATTAGAATCTAAATGATTTTTAGTTATAAAACATTAAGTGTCTAGAAGCCTAAGGAAAAATTTGCTGTCTCACCTTTCTTTTATTTTCTTCCCTTGATTCTCTTTCAAAATTGCCGCCCTTCTGGGCACACATCAAAAGCAAAGAGTATTCATATCATTTTATTTTTGGAAGGATAAAATACTGTAAACATTAATCTAGTTAGGGGATGTTTACAGAAAACTGAACTTGATGTAAGATATGGATCATAAGATTTAATGGTAATCCTAGAGTGAAAAGATAAATTTGTCTTAGTGACAGGCTCTGCACTGCCAGGCCTGATGCTGCTGTCAATAAGCATAAGGCCAAACAAACTGATTCTCTGTTTATTATTGTTAAGCATTGCAAATATTTTGTAAAAAGCCTTCAGGTGAGCCATGGTAGTGCCTACAGCTTATTGCATTCTCTTGGCTATTTCAATATCCGTGCACAGTAGGTTCCCACTATTCTAACCGAATCCATGAAGGAGAAGTTGGTGCTTGCTATCTCAGAGTTTCTAGAACTGTACAAGATAGATCGCAGTCAGAACAGCAGCGATTCTTCAATGATGATTAGGTGAAAGAGGCAACTCGCACACGGAGCCAAGAAGCTTCAATGAGGATGGTGTACGTCCTCTCTTTCAAAGATAGAATACCACGATCAAGAGGGAAAGAGGCTTTTAAAGACTAGATTTTGAATCTTGAGACTTTGTGATCGTTTTCATATGGTTTGTGCGCTTCTGCTATTACACTTGTTGTCATTAAAGAACAAACATTACTTTTTGACCGACTCTCGCAAATATTTGGTAAAATAAGATGAACTCACTTGGGAAATAAGACCTAGGAAAAATAATCCTACATAAAGTTGGTTCACGCTGTCGTGCCAAACAATGTTCCTCACCATAATTCATCTTGCACATTTTTAAATCTAGCATTCCTCCGTACATTGAATATTGCTGCCATATCTGATCTGGAGCTCCTATAATATATCTATAGATTCCCGACAAACTCCAAAGAAGGGTCTGTGATAATGTTATCAGTCCTGACTTGGCATCTTGACTTCAGTCAATTTTCCACCGCTATGACGTGGCTTCCCTCTGTCTTTTCTATAAATATTTTCATATTCTAATGAGTTCTCCTCCTTGATACATCGATCGCATTAATTTAAGCGTACTGCAAAATTGGCAACTCGGTCTCATCGTTTTACTGTTGAAATAACTAAAATATAACCGCAAGTTCTATTTTAACAGTTTCTTTTCTCGCACCTCACTACTGTGTAACTATCTTGGTTCCTTGTCAATTGCGATCTTCAAAATATAAATGCAACATCGCCATCTTTTGCCTTTCTGAATTCTGTTCTTTTACCGTGCTTTTTCTTTACTAAATTCTTCTCATTTTCTTTCACTCTCAGTAACCCTTTGCGTCTTAGTGGCATTATCTGGGGTGAAATTATTAAAAAGTGACATCGTTGGTTGTCAGGAAATGGTTTTATTTTACTAGATGGTAAAACGATTTCTACATATTAAAAAAATGAACATTTTTATTGAGTTAATCGTTGAGTCGCGCCGCCATTTTTATCGCGTTTTTGTTCGTTAGATTGTGAATGAAAAAGTAAGAGACCAGAAATCTTAACCGTAAAAATATCTTTTGTTTCCTTCCGACTTCATGTTATAAGTAATGGTATAAATGAATTGTGCCGAGTACAGATTAGTAATAAAAGTAAAGAAAAAGGAACACGCGTTAATTCTACTTTCTTTCTACATCCTGGGTATGACGATAGACTACATCCGGCAGCAAAGCCTCTGATCGGGAGATTGGAGGTTTTAAGGAGCGTGGAACCACCCCTTAATTGTTGTTGTTCCCGAGTTCTCTCTGAGAACTCGAGGTGGCAGCACTTGTTAGGGTCCCAGATATGGGCAAACAGTGAACTACCAAACAAAAGTCAAAACACTAGGAAAGTATAAAAATATACTTTTATAGCAAAACGACCAGCAATACGTTTTTGAAGCAGTGAATATGGTGTTATAAGAAAATAAACCCTATTTCCAACACATACCACATACATACCATATTAAAACATACCAAAAAGATTCCATACTACAGCACACGCTGTTATCCCCGCCTGTCACGCAGGAGACCGGGGTTCGATTCCCCGCCGGGGAGCTTCTTTGGGTACCTAGAGGCGGTGTAATGGTTAGCAAGCTTGTCTTGCTAGAACAATTACGACTGAATAGTGAGTTCGATCTTCACTGGGTGTCCCATACTTTCGGCCTTGTGCCACATCTAAGCTACGCTTGGAAAATCACTACAGCACACGCCGTTTAAATCAACCACGACAATATGAAATATTTGACCAATCAGAAAACTAAAATCCTATTTTTCTTGAGCCTAATTTCAGGGAAACATTACCATAAAACCCTATAGATTTTGACTTTCAGGAGCATGGATGCGACTGTCTCTAAGCCGTCCAAATACAAGAGAAGACGAAGTTACATAGTTTCTCCCCTTCCCAGCGCGTGCCGTAAGAAACATGTGTCGGCGAATTCAAATGAATCATCTTCAACAACATGGTCGGTTAATGAATCTTCGCTGATGATCAGTTTTTTATCAACGACGCCTTTTTACTGTGGGCCAACTACTTAAGTTTGTTCGCAACCATAGATTTGACTGTGGACCAACTACTAAAAATCCTTTCTAAACTATAGATTTTTCTGTGGACCAACTACCCGAAGTCTTTAACTCAGCCAAAGACTATTTTTTACTCCTTTTTGAATCTTGAATTCATTTACATGTCTGTAAATACAAATGATTTATTTAATAGGCTTACCCATATTTTCTTTATTTTTATCTTATTATTTTTTGGAATTTGGATGTTGGGATTTTTAATATTAAAAAAAAAACCCTGGACAACGGAATTTCTTACAGTGATTAAATGCTAAAAGTATTTATAGAAAATCATAAGTTATTTATTAGCCATTTGGGTAACTTGTATTTCTAATAGGTATATTAAACAAATCTATCAAAACTGTTCGATCACAAGCGGTGCAATTTTTTTTTCTTTTTTGGGTGCGCTACAACATACGCCTTCTTTGTGTCCTTACTTTTCTGTAATTTGTTTTGTTACAACATTTATTAATTGTACTTTAATTCCAATGTCTTGTGTCCTTTTCACCCGGACTCGCATGAGTCTGCAAAATATTGTTTGCGGGACAAATACTACCGGAAGTCATAAAAGTATAATTTTTTCGGTTCCGCAATAAAACTTTAATTCACTCTAACGATTTCATATATAAACACAGCAAACGCTAAAATGATCTATAGAAAATAATTGGAAATTATTCTTTTTAAATCAATTCAAGCCAAGCAAGGCGATAATATCACTAAGACGCAAGGGGGCTAATGGAATGAAAGAGAATTAAAAGACTTTAGAAGGAACCGGAAACCCGATCCTAAACAGGAAACAAGGGATAAACCCAGGGTTTCTGGCACCCTGGGCAAGCTGAACTTTGGTGCCTGTACAAGTATAAATTTTTAAATTTTCACAAGAAAAACTGAAAATGTTGAATAACAAATTTATTACAATATGCAACTTAATAGAAGCTAAATAAAACATTCATTATCTAACCTAAAACATTTTTTCTAGCCTTTAGATCTGCAAATCTTTTCATGGCACTTTCTACACCTATCTTCTTTACAAGATCATTTTCTATTCACAACATAGCCAAAAAATTTAATCTGTCTTGAGTCATGGACGACGGCATTTATGTTTTTAGAAGATTTAGTTTTGGAAGATCCCAAACACATAATGTGATGACATGATGTCGTTCTCGACCTTAAAGGCGCCCCGGGCGACTGTCCGATTTGCTAGGACCTTGAGCCGGCCCTGGATAAACCTTTACTCCTCGGAGGAATGTGAACCAGACGATAGACAAACCTATCTACTCCAATTTACTAGTCATTTAAGTAACTTGTCATAACAATGAAAGGATTTATGAAACAAATAAATCAAAAGTTATCCAATAAATACTTAGAGCATATATAGATATTTATTGAGATAATTAGTCTACAATAGGTAGGCATTTCAAAATATTAAGTTGGCTGGAAAGTTTTGACTCACTTAGGAAGCAGAAAGAAAACAGCACAATTTTATGGAGCAACATCAACATTCTTCAAAATATAGTTCATCATTCTTGACGATCTGCTGCCAGCAATTAGCCAGCAACCGAAACTGTCGCAGATACCAGCCCGCTGGCTTTTATTGAATCAAAACAACTATAAACAAGCTTTATCAAAAGAGTTGAATGTAGCAGAAGAAATGTGCCATTGAGCGGAATAGGCCATAGTCACTCGGAGAAGCATTGGGATTGAATGGTGGATGTGGAAGAAACTTAACACCGTCCATCTGTTTGAACTTCTCTGGAGCCAACCTAGCAGTATGTGGCCTCTCGTTCTTGCTGAAACCAAGCCTGACCACGACTTACCAAAGCAGGATACTCCTCCTTTAGTTTGTCGTACACGCGGTCTAGCTGCTGGCAGTACAGTTTAGTGTTGATGGCTCAATCAGAGGTGGATTTATATCTTTTGCAAGGAGATTTGCGCGTAAGTAAATACAACAAACCAGACTCGGATTGAAGCTCAGCTGTCCAATTTCCAACTCTGTGCCGTTATTCATTACACCAACTGCACATCCAAGCTTACAGCAACCTGGTATTCACAAGTGGTCACCCATCTAGGTATTGACCTGGCTCGACGTTGCTTAACTTCGGCGTTCGTACGTGAAGTGGTGTTTTTAGTGTAATATAGCCGCGAGCCTAAAATAATTCTGGAGGTAGAAAGAAAATTAAACCTGCATTTTTTTTTTTTTAATATAAAATATGCTTTCGCGAGTTGCGTATGCCAGGAAACGCATTTTTTACTAAGATTTCTGGAATGCACAGTCCGATTGACGTCATGCACACTATTTAATAAATGAAGACGGGGCGTCTATTTCAAAAACGAAGTATCCACTGTAATAACGTTTGAAGTAATAAAAAAAGTCGGGTTAAAAATAAATCCATTACTTCTTTAGAAACTGTTTTATTTACGCTTCGGAAAATAAAAAGTCAGTTTTCGAGTAAATCATCTGTGGGGAAGAGGATCTGTTTTTCTTAAAAAGGGAATATATAACCTTGCTTGCTGTGACGTTCTTCGTGGCTGGGCGGTAAAGCACACTAGTTCAAGCGATGGTTTCTTCTACATAGGGGAATGCATTTTTCTTTACTAAGATTTCTCGAAAGCACAGGCAGATTGACATAATACACACTGTTTAATAAATAAAAATGGAGCGTCTATTTTAAATACGAAGTATCCAGTGTAATATCGTTTGAGGTAGTAAAAAAATATCGGATTAAAAATAAATCTATTAATTCTTTGGAAAGACTTTATATTTGCAGCACATATTCAAAAAAAAAAAAAAAAAAAAAAAAGTGAAAAATTTTCTGCTCAAAATGAGGTTAACAGTGGCGCCATCGGGTAGGGAAAATGAAAATTAAAGTTAGTGATTCAACCTGCCACATGAACCAATCAGATCCCGTCTTTCCTACATGAAGCAGCAAGCGTCTTTGTTGTATTGATAGCTGTACACAGAATACAGAATGTCTTGTCAAGACGAACCAATGATAACAATGGGGAACAGTGTTGTGCTGAAAAGAAAATCTCCAGTCCAAAACAAACTTTCAGTTACTTCCTTACTTGATTGTGCTTCTGACTCATTCGATAGTTAAGTGCTGTTGTAAGAATAAACAAACTTGCAAATGGACATGTCTACAGTACTGGTCACTCGTCGTCTAAATGTGTTCGTTTTCTGAATTGCTTTGTTAAGTGCATCTACTTGCATAAAGACAAATAAGAAGCAGCTGTTATTTGGGCTCAAACCAGTTGGCGCCAAAACACTAATTATCAACTTGATGAGACTAGTATTCTTTAGTTCTTTGCTACTTACCTTTAGTGTTATTAAAGTTTTGCTCTTGTTTCTTTTCTCTCTTTTAAAATATTTTTTGTTTTCGTTTTATTGTTCAGATATCTTTCCAGCTGTCAGTGTTATCTTTGTTGAATTACCGTGCTCCTAACGATTCTCTTCGTTTTGTCCGCCTTGCGTTTCGTCTACCTTGCTTCTTGCTCTCTTTCTTGGCTTCACCAATTTTCTTTTATCCCATCGATTTTTTTTCTTTCATTCCTTGCCTCTATTCTTTGTTTTATTGTTATTATTCTTGATTTCGTCCAGTGTTATTTTTTCGCTTATCTCTATCTTTTATGTTTTACCTTTTCTGTTTTTTCTTGGCTTTCTTTACTTCTTGCTCTCGTACTAATTTCATGGCATTTCTTGTTTCCTTAATTTAAATTTATATTCTCGTGTATTTATTTTCGGGTCTTGAATAAAAAGGAGGGGTGGAATAAACTGATTTATAATAAAAACATATTTATAAATTTTTATATATAATAATTTATTATCATTAAATTTTTATGTCACGGGGTGCGTTTTGTAGATTCCCGAGAGAGAATGCGGTATTATGGTGTATGGAGGATTGATTGGTGACGGACGAGTTTTTATGGTGAATGCGCAGATTGTAATGAGTGAATGGGTCGCGAGTCGGATTAGCTAGGTATAAGATAGTAAGTGAAGACCAGCCTCAACTCCTCCCCCTTGTTCGGCCTCGTGCCATAATTGTATTTAATACAATAAATATAAATAAGAACATATTTATTTTTTCAGAAAATTGATAAGCCGGCGTAAGTACGTTTATTGTTACAGACTCGAGAATGCAACATATCTAAGTCTTACTTGAGACTATATTTTTTTTAATATTCTGTATGAGGCCCGGGTCTCTCTCGAGGTCGAGGGTTACAATAAGGAGATAGTGTCTTTGGATAGGAGGGGGAAATAGTTAACTCTAGATTTGAACAGGCTAAGATTGTAGTGATCTGGGAAACATCCTATTGTCTCCTCTCACCAATGGAACATGGAGGGAATGTGGGTGGTTTGCTACTATGTAAGTGGTGTGGCAGGTCCTAACCGTAAAGGCTTGAATTGGCGCAACCAAGGAATGTAGTCCATCCGAACACTTTCCATGGTAGTAGCGATAAAGTAGTGAGAGAGTCACCATATCCCGCCTGTGAGAGAGATTCAGTTCGTCCGTGCTATTTAGATTCTCCAAATTTTGGGGTAACACTTTATATATTGAAAAAATGCGCGACCGAATGTAGTACAGAAGTTTGCCTTTGCGAGTACTGTTTTTTTTTTTTGGGGGGCTCACTTTTAAGTAGGTGGTTGATACAAGTTGTTAGAATAAATAATATTTTCTGTTATCCGTTTCTCCATATTTGGAAGCAGCACCTTGAACGCGTTTTGTGACACAGGCCTTTTCCTTATGTAACTCTCTACTTCGAGTGGCACTTGGGCCTTGTTCAGGATGTAAAAAAAAAAAAAGAATTCTAGGAAAAAAATTGTAAACATTGACAAGAAATTCTTCAATTTCGAAAAATTTCAGCTGCTCCAGCTCTTTGTAGGAAAGTCAAGGAGGTGGAGTTTGATTGATTGTTTTCGGCTTATCAACCTTCAGTGTCTCAACATAAAGAAAGATACCAAAGAATACAGTTAACCGATATTGATTCTCTAACTACTGGGCCATGCCCGCAAGTGTTTCTCTCATTTTCTTTCTCCTTAAGTGTCTTGCTGTTGAGAATTTCTCTTGTAATTTCAGTGTTTTCGCCCAGCTGCAAGTACAATTTTTGTACACCCACGCGAGTTACCTATGAAATGTTTAGGTTATGTCAAGGCATCATAAATCAGGTTAGGTCATTACAAATAGTAATAATAATATTAGTCGTTTCCTAATAAGAAAAAATGTCATTTATTGACCGTGACTGTTGGTTGAAATTTATGAAATCTTTCTCTTAAAACAATTCAGGAAAATAGGTTTCTCAAATTCAGTAGCTGTTTTCGTTCTTTCCAGTATTGATGTGGGCTGAGTTCCTTCCTAATCGTTTGAAGTAGCATGGGACGGAGACTTTTTGATGATGTCATTATTTTCTTATCGAATTCCATGTCTATTTTAGCTGTTGAAAATCTGTAAGTGTTGTTTCTGTTGTTTGGTACAGTTTCTTTTTGATTCTGTAACACCAATCTACGTGGTTCGAAGAAGGATGATCTTCGTCAAGAACCACAGGCTTCTCTCGCTCAAAGCCATTTTTAACCATTGATTTGAGGTTGCTGTTAACGTAGGCTTGTATCACTCGATCAGTTATGACCAAGTAATGAATTAGGTCTTTACTGGGTGCTCCTTCATCTCTGTTCTGTGCCCGATCTAAGGCTTATAGTCACAGTGTATGGAGTTGTGCTGTACAATGGAATTGGAGAACCATGTGTATAATATTAACGGACATTAAAAAAAAAATAGACATAAAAAACAAAAAAAAACAACTTTTCTCCTCTGTGCATCACCGTTCGGTGGTGACCGTCCCTCTCTTCGCTCGGCCTCTGCACAGCTGTTAAACTATTGTTTCAAACATGACATGATCTACGATTTGGGATCGTTTGTCAGAAATATTTACGTAAATTCTGTTTGCAAAAAGGGTAAAATTCCTTAACTGTTTTGGTGGGCGAGTAAAAGGTCAAGTAGTCTATTTTGCAACAAAAAATCTACTCCTTGTACGTGACTCTTCTTGAACTACGATATTAACTTGACCTCGATTTTCCTCTTGTCTTAATTGGTGTCTTCTCTATTAGTTCATTAATAATACTCATTAGGTTATATTTTTATTATTATTAAGTGATTCTTTAGGAGTATGATGGTAACCCTTACAGTTTTTTATCACTGCTTTTCAGCTGTAATAACAGAATGAGTATAATTCTTTCAAATACTTGTACATAGAATGACCGAAGGTTGTTAGTAATGATAATATTATAAGGACACATTCGGCATTCATTGACCGAGCAGCCAGTGCTATTTGACTTACACTTTTCTTGACTACCTGGCCAGCAGGCTGGGATCAAAATGTAGTACCTGCTCTCCTCATCAGTAATGTTAATAACAGCCGTTTCCTTATAAGGAAACATTCAGCATTCATTGCTGCTGTTGTCGATTGAAATCTTTCTCTTAAAACAATTTTTCAGGAAAATAAGTTTCTCAAGTCCGGTAAATGTTATTACTCTTTCCTGTATTGAGTGTGTGTGTGGGGGGGGATTATTCCTAATTTTTTGTCTGAAGTAGCGTGGAAAGTCAAATCTTGATTATGTCATTATTTTCTCTTCAAGATATATATGTTATCCATTTTAGTTATAGTTGCTATTGAAAGTCCCAGAGTGATGTTATTTCTGTTATTTGGTACAATTTCTTTGTTGTGTACTGACGCTACAGAATCACAATGCTCGAATAAGAATGGTCCTTGTTAAGACCTATAAGTTCGCTTGAAACCATTTCCAGTTATTGATCTGAAAAAGCAGTTTAGATCTGCTAACAGTTTAAATCTTTCTGAACGAGTTTGGTGACATGGTTGCCATCCATATAAAAGTCTCGATCCGACGAGACTATTTAACGAGACTTGCATTAATTTATGGTCACTAAAATAGAGATTATTGACAATTAAACTAATTTCTTATTTTTAATGTGAATAGTCTCTCTATAATTATATTTGGACAGTAATTTTTCTTTCATGCAATTTGTATTAAAAGCCAACGAAAGTTCTTAGTTAAATATCTTTAACTTTTTTGGTGATGGGACTATTGTTGGTATGTTTGTGTCAGTGTTTGTGATTAGCTAAGTTTAGAATTA